CCCCCCCATTTTGCCCCCAATTTCCCCCCAATTCGCCCCCCGAATTTAATGCCCAACTGGGCATGAAATATATATGCCCAAAATGCCGGGCATTTATGCCTAGGCATATGCCCACTGGGCATATGCCTAGTAGGCATTTTCAACCGTACTCAATCCAATACTTCACTCCTATTACAGCCCAAACATTATGAATACAGACAAACCACAGGTCATACACAATACAGTCAATCAATTGTACCATTAATAGGCAAATATGAATGCAAGTTTGAAGGCAATAGACTGACCTTGCTTAATTGCATCTCATTCTATTGAATTGCATCTCATTTTACAAAACATGCCTAAATATATTGAATAAACCTAAAATATACAGAATAAACCTTGTTAATTAGTTAACCCTGGAATAATGAAACATGAACATAATACATGAATTCCTACCGATTCCTTAGTACTCTCATTATTGTGTAGGAATATTAGGGCATTCAATACAATGTGTATACCTGTATATATACCTTATACCTGTACAGTACAGGCTGTAAGCGTTTATACAGTATTAGGTAAGCAATTAGTTATAGGGTTTGAGTGTATTTTGTGATGAAATGTGAAACACGCGTTGCATTCACTCAACACTTGCATTGCTTTTGAAGCAAACAATTAGTGTTTTATAAACAAAATACAGTTTATATTGAATTCAATTGAGATCTGCTTTGAATCTAAAGTCAACCAAAACTGTCATTATTTGAATCAAAGTCTAACCAATGGTTTGTTTACACTGTATATGACTTTTAGAGGAGTTTAAACTTTAAAGTGTAAATCAAATCGACATCTATTATGGCTGTAATGGATGTGATGTCAGTCGACAAATATGATTGTGTGGACACCAATCGATTCAATCAATTGGTAGACACAGTGAGTCCAACCCCTGCCAAACATATCCATCTCTTGTAACCACAATATCTGTTGATTTACTTAAGGATAAGCCATTTGTGGTGAAAGACGCCCACTTTGGCCACTGTATGACTCGATGGACGCCCGAGTATTTGGCGGACAAACTAAAGGATATATCGGTTTCTGTCCACCAATCAAATGATCCGAAACTGAATTTTATTCGCAAAAATTTTTCCTACAAAACCATGTCTTTGAGTGAAATGATTGACAAATGTCTTAACGATTGCCAAAACTATTATTATTTACGATCCGTTGGTAACGATCGTCGGGCCAGAGATGTGGCGGACATAAGGACTCAGTTTTCGTCCATTTCGGACGACTTAACGATTCCGTCGTTTTTATCAATGAATGAGAATAGAGACCAAATGCAAGACTCGGCTCAAAGGCGTCTGTTTTCGAGTGTGTTTCGTATTTCATCCAAAGGTTTAGTTCTTTGGACGCATTACGACATTATGGACAACATCTTAGTTCAGGTGAAAGGATCCAAAAGAGTGGTGTTGTTTCCGCCCAACGATTGTCTAAACCTATACTTAGAGTCGGATAAGTCTCGAGTCATTGATATCGACGAACCCATCGATCAAATGAGAGACAAATTTCCACTCTTTTTGAATGCAAGGCGTTATGAATGCATTCTAGAAGAGAGTGAATCCCTATTCATACCATCGCTTTGGTTCCACAACACAACAGCTCTTCACTTCAGTATTGGAATGAATTTCTTCTGGAAAGACAAACAATTAGCCGAAGAAAATCTTTATAATAAAAGCGATGTTTACGGCAATAAAGACTTAAACCCAGCCATCGATGCCTTCACTAATTTAGACAAAGCTCTCAAACATATCGACAAAATGCCCAAAAAGTTTAGAGATTTTTATCTTAGAATTTTGATTAATAAATTGCAAAACAAATTAACTTAATGTTAAATATTTATGTTTTATTTATTATACAATTATTTTAATAAATATATTTAAAATTTTACCTTGTATGATGTTTTAGTTAATTTGGTAATACTGTAAATTAAAAATTAATAATTATACGATTAATACTAAATGTCTAATTTCTATTTTAAATATGAGAGAGAGAGAGAACACGTTGAAAGAGATTTTAATTAAATTATAGACTATAATTTATAGCACAAGTTTTATTATGGTTTAAATTTAGTTTCAAATAGTTGATATGATGAAAGTTATCATTTTATTACATTTTATTATATAATATTCATTGAATATAAAAGTTACATAATTTAAGGGAACAATTGAGGGATAGATTTAGTGATATAACGAGTGCTAAAAGTGAGGGAAACTCGAAGTCGAGATTATTATAAATATTTAATGTGAAAAGTCATAAGAATGTGATCATTAATATGATTACCCCAACAACAAGACAATATGGCATTAGTTTGATTATATCAATGATAGC